GTTTTAGAAGATAGATGTTTATTTAAGAAAAAATATAAAATATAAAAGAGAAACATAAATTGCTCGTTTTCCTGAAGATTAGCTGGCAATTTCTCTGCACCAACATCACATAGAGAGAATATGATTGGATTGTAAAATGTCAGAGGTGCTTATTATCAGCATTATAAACTTATATAAAGCAATTTTAATACAAACAATATTATAGACTTATATAAAGCGAGGAAGCAATATTATTTATCACATTACTATAGGGCATTAGCCGGAGATTAATCTCCGTATGTCGGAAGCTCCCTATATGGTGCTTCACCCCCCTCCCCAGAAATTTAAATTTTAAACTGAAAAAAATTAAAACCTAATGAAAAAAAAGAGCTTTAAAATATGGCAAACAAATAAAAACATGTAATATTAATAAGTTGATGCTGACTAATATTTCAAAAGCAAATACCATTGCAAATAATTGCCCAATTAACTTCAATACTGTCAACTGACAAAATATTTTAGTTTCAATCAGACAAAAAGCAAATTCTGATGAAAAAATGTTGGCAGCAATTGAATTTCGTTCTGCCATGCTCTGCTGGAAACGAAAGTGCACCACAGTTTACATATTCATTACTGAAAAGGGGGTATAATGTCTGATAAAGATTCACCAAGGTATTCGTTTTCATTTAAACGTCTTGACTCTTCAACGTTTCTTTGCCGCGCATTCCGCCGTCGCGTATTGATAGCACTACGGTTATTTTCCAAGTAATTTTATGCTGCTAAATTATGTTCAGTCCTATGTCGCTGTTGATATCGCGTAAGATATTCATGACGATCCATTTTTTATAAAAGATATAAGTATGTATTTTAAATTAAATTCTGTTCGATATATTTTGATAATTTAGAATGTAAATAGTTTTTTGAGAGAGTGTTGATTTGTGCTTCCAATAACTCTACACAATTTATCAGAGCTATTAAAATATATCGGAATTCTAAAATAAATAACTGCGTTCTATCAAAACAAACATTATTTTATAAAACTTTGGAACAACTATCTTTTTACATTGCCACTCAAAATTATTAATAAACACTGGATAATATTGCGTTAATGACACTTTTATCAAATGACGTCATAAACAATCGTTTGCATAAAGTTCATAATAATCATATATAATAGTTTGCATTAATAATCGTTCGGTCTTTTTATAGCTTTACGTAACAAGTGTGAGATTTGTTTTTTTTTTTTTTGGAATGGCGATGTTATAATTTTGTTGTTGAGTAAATAAATCTTCGTTTTTATAAACGTAATAGTAGAGTTTTCTTAATTATTTGATTCGAAGTCCTCTGAATTTTATTTGAGATCAGTTTGTATTTTGTATTTTTTGACAGCATTATTAAAAATTATTACCTTTTCACACACATGAGTTCTCAATTTTGATTGGCTGTTTTGTGCGTTACTAACCAGAAGTCTTCTGTGATTGGCTATGTGTTATCATTCCATTCTCTTCTTATATATAAAGATATATATATATATACAGTCAAACCCCGCTATAGTGAACCTTCAAGGGACCGAAATTTCTGTTCACTATAACCGGGAGTTCACTATATCCGTTACGCAGGCAATTTAACTAATGGTTCCCAAACTCCTCCCTTTTATTACACATTGTTCATATAAATGACTGAAAAATATTATGTAGTAGCAAAAAATGTGTTATTTTCCATTACTCTTTGTCTTGCGTACAAAAAAAAACTTATAATGCTGATGAGAAATCCTCAGCATCAGATATGGAAAAACTTCCCGACTTTCAGATAATTTTTCCTGAATTTCTGTTATTCCGCTTTTTAAACCTGTCTAACCTACCATTCGAGCACATAAAAGTAGTCTCATAAAATCACTTTTCAAATTCATCGACATATTTGTTTAGATACTTCGATTGGTGAACCACTTCAGTAATGCTTCTTCAACATCCTTGTGATCTGCTTTTCTCAATTTTTTTCTGCCATCTAAATTTTTTTTCATGAGCAAAAATTATTAATTGCCCATTTTTCCATATGTTACAAACTGCAGATTTGGATAGTTAATATTCCCTGCAAATATCAGCTTGATTGCATGCATTTTCAATTTTTCTGATTATGCGCATTTTATCATCAATGGAGAACGTTTTACTTTTACTGCTCGCCATAGTTAAATTTGAGACACTTGTTTGCAGGAATTTTTAAACTGAACTGAGAGCAAGAAGGAGTTGAAATGAAGACCTTATCAACACATGTATTAGTGTCCAACCCTTTGACCAATAATGAATAATTGCTCATTCCCTCTGAGACATAAAATGCATAATGATCTGACTGCCTAGGTTGGAAACATCTGCTATGTTTGCTTATGGATGGGAAACTGAGATAAAAGAAGCAAACAAGAAAAAATGCTTATTGCTACATTCCCCTCTATAGATGGTTTTGAANATTTTTCACAGTAAGATTTTTTTTTTTTTTTTTTGAAGTAGAAATTTCAAAATTATTACAAAAGAAATTAGTTGAAGACAGAAAAAAGTTCATTATATCTAACTTCCTAACTTTTTTGGTTCACTATATCCACAAAAAATAACATTATCCGCGTTTAGCAAGGCACGGGACCGAACATTTCGTTCACTGTATCCGGGAGTTCATTATAAACCGTGGTCACTATAGCGGGGTTTGACTGTATGTATGTATATATATATATATATATATACATACACAGGCGTGCCAACTTTTAATCCCTTCCATTATCATTTTTCCCAGTGGTATTAAAATGGAATTAAAACTTCAATTTTAAGCAAACAAATACATTGTATTTGAAAAAAATTAAGTTGTCAACCATGATAGTAATGCATATTAATATATAAGCTTAATTTTTGTAAGAATAGTGGTGATCAAAATCATTTAAAAATTAAGTTTATAAAAGAAAAAATAGTATATATTTACTACCACTTTAAATATGAAAATAAAATCT